ATTGGATCTGCTTGAGAGAAGAGATGGCTTGGCAAGGCACATAGCATGCCAGTTCCTGAGCACTGCAGTGCTGGGGGTCTCCCATGGGTGCTCAGTGCCACTTTGCCCAAGGGTTTACATCCTCAGGCTTGGCAGGACATTTTTCAGGGGCTGCCTATGCTGAAGGCTGTTGCAAGCTAAAACCTTATCGGCCAGTGTCTGTTCCTAGTACAGTGTCCTAGTGCAATGTCTCTTTGCAGTCCATGTTCAGATCCCTAGGTACGCTTGTTTGTATTGTAAAGTGTGAATTGCCAGTTGTTCCTTCACACTTGAGATGTCAGCTCCAAAGTGAATGAAAGCTGACAGGCTGTAGGCCTAGAAATAACTGTATCAGGAATAGTGTGGCCAGCAGGAGCAGGGAGGTGATTGTTCCCCTGTACTCGGCACTGGTGAGGCCGCACCTGGAATACTGTGTCCAGTTTTGGGCCCCTCAATACAAGAAAGACACTGAGGTGCTGGAGCGTGTTCAGAGAAGGGCAACAAAGCTGGTGAAGGGTCTGGAGCACAGGCCTTATGCGGAGCGGCTGAGGGAACTGGGATTGTACAACTACCTGAAAGGAGGTTGTAGTGAGGCGGGTGTTGGTCTCTTCTCCCAAGTAGATAATGATAGGACGAGAGGAAATGGGTTCAAGCTGCGCCAGGGGAGGTTTAGGTTGGATATTAGGAAAAATTTCTTCACGGAAAGAGTAGTCAAGCATTGGAACAGGCTGCCCAGAGAGGTGGTGGAGTCCCCATCCCTGGAAGAGTTCAAAAAATGGGTAGATGTGGCACTTCGGGACATGGTTTAGTCTAGTCTACCCTTAACTGGTTTAGTGTGGACTTGGTAGTGTAGGTTAATGGTTGGACTGGATGATCTTAAAGGTCTTTTCCAACCTAAACGATTCTATGATTCTGTAACTCCTGTGAAAACTGTCACTTGTGCCGCTGTGCCCTGGGCCTGCAGCCTGCTGCCCCTCTCCCTGGCCTGCTCCCCGGCTGTAGCAGGCACTGCTGCTAGAGAGTTTGCCTTGGTTCTGCCTCCGGGAGAGGAAGGGAAGCTCCTGGTCTCCCATGAAAGAGGCTTTGCAAAGTTTTGACTAGGAGGGAGTTCACTGGCTAACCCTTGTTCCCCTAAATGTGCCAGAGCCACTTGAATGGGATTTTGAAACTGTTCTGGACTTACACCCGGGGCTCAGTTATAATCCTCCCCACGCCATTCCCAGGGGCTACTGAGAGGTCTGTGTCCCTCCCGAGTTCCTCCTGTCTTGCAAGTACTACATTTCTTTCATTTTTCATCAAGGCAGTGCTATATCCTGGCAGATGGACATTCGTCAACCCAGACAGCCAAGGCAGTCTGAGATGTGAACAGCCTCTTGTTGACAGTGGAATCAAGCCAGGAGGAAACAGGTACGGTTACCTAATTTACCAGTATCCCATGTCTTTCCTGTTTTCAGATCAGCATCTTCATGACCCACCTGTCCAACTATGGGAATGATCGGCTGGGACTGTACACCTTTGAGAGCCTCGTCAAGTTTGTGCAGTGCTGGACCAACCTTCGCTTGCAAACACTGCCCCCCATCCAACTTGCAAAAAAGTACTTTGAAATCTTTCCCCAGGAGAAGAATCCCTTGTGGCAGGTGAGAAGGCAGCTTTAACTGCTCCTAGTGGTTTTTTCCAAGAGGTATGTCCCACATTCAAAGTGTGGCGAGACTGCTGATCCAGAGCACAGAGGGGTAATGCATAAAGCTTTTAGGTTTAACCTTTGTGTCTTGAGGCTGCAAGTGGCAAATTGCAAGGTGGCAGGGATGGGGAGTAGGAGCAGTAGGACACAGTCACAGTGTGAGCTTAGGGACAGGGGTGGCTGTCATAAATGACTGGCGGGCAGGCTCGCAGGCATTTAGGTCGTTAAAGGGCTTATATTAGAGCAAGCCGCTGTGAAATGTTAAGTGCACGAGGAAGAACCCTGTTTGGTGCTGGAGGACCTTGCGGGCATGTTAATGTGATTAATCTTAAAGTAATTTCACACTGCAGAATTGATGTTCATTAAATAAAAACATGCTTATTCCATTTTATCCCAGTGCAGCAGCTCTCTGCATGGTAATGAGCAGATGAAATTAACTCAAGGTGATAGAGTTGTCTGTCTGCCAGAAGTTCACAGATGTTGAGCTGTACTATCGTGGTGGCCCAGCCCAGCATGGCTACATAGGGCAGGGCCTGTGGTTAACACTCTCAGAGGGACTCTGGCTCCTGTGTCACTTTGGAGCTTTGGAAAATGTTCCCCTGTGTTTTTACTTAACTCTTCTTGATGCCTGGCAGAGCAGCAGTGTGGCTGTGAAGTGTTCTTTATATGCTAATAGCATCTTCCCGAGAGGACTAGCTTTCCAGCTTTTCCTCCCCTTTCCATTAGCTCCTGTGGTAATGCTTAATCCCATCACTTGTGCTGCAGAATCCCTGTGATGATAAGAGGCACAAGGATATCTGGTCCAAAGAGAAAACATGCGATCGACTCCCCAAGTTCCTCATCGTGGGACCTCAGAAAACTGGTAATGTGAATACTTTATCTAAAGATAGGTTGCAACTTCCATCTCATTCCTCCAGAGAGGAGAGCTGGAAAGGTCTGTGTGTTAGGCCTGTATGGCTGCCCTTTGTGCAAGCTGCCAAATGGCCACAGAGGACATTTCAGAGAATCTCAGATTTGTTCTAACCTAAATCTGGCAAGTCCATCAGTACTTTGCGCCCTGGCACTTTGCTTGGCTCAGCCCTGATTTGCAGGGAAAAGCCCTACCTGCAGAGCTGTGTTTTGGCTTTTCCACATAAGCTCAGAGAAACTGTGACCTTTCTTAGTGTGTCACAAACATAAGCTGTCAGCAGGACTCAATGCAGACACTTAGCAAAGGTTATGATGACTGCTCCCTAGTGCTTTTATTGCGACAGATCTGTGTACCCACTGCATGCTCCATGTCGCTGTCAGTGGGAGGTAGAGATCCTCTTTTGTCTGACCTCTGTCACCACCTCTTAACTGCTGTGGCACCGTGGTTGGCAATGACATGGCTGTATGTACTGTCCTGAGGAGTCCTTTCTAGGCTGAAGAGAGAAAAACGTCTTCAGCCAAAGCCAGGTCTTCAAACCTTGGCTTTCTCTGTAGTGCAGTGAAACAGCAACTGCCAACCGTGCACAGCAAACGGTGATCCTGGCCTTGGGAGGAAGCTTTTCCCAGCCAAGCTGCCGTCTCCTGCCTGTGTCGCTGTGAAGCTCTGTTGGTGTGTGTGCAGCATGGGCCCTCCTGTATCACGGCCCAAGCTGCTTCCAGCGGCACAGTAAGAAAACCCTTCTCTAGGCTGATTTATTGGCCTGCTGGAGGCCTACAGCTGTGTGCTGAGCAGGATTAACAGGTTTGGGTGGGTAAAGGGAAAGCACCTACAGCAGAGACAGGCCAAGGCATCTCTAGCTGAATTCTGACCCAAGGACACTAACGTTGTCCTTAGCACATCTCCTTCCCAAACGCATGATGCTGCCCTGCAGTGCCCAGGCCACCTCCCGTTTGGCAGGTGTGGGTTCTGCCACCTGACAGTGTGGCTGTGCCACCAGGGAAAAAGGCACGGGGGTAGCCCAGCTATGGTAAGGACACAAGATAGCCAACACGGGTGACGGCTGCCATGCTAAGGAGGTGACTTAGATCAGCTGCATGAACTGAAATATGGGATTGAACTGCTGAGTCACATTCAATCCCAAAGGGCTTGGTGTCGCTGCTCTCGTAACCTGCATGAGTTAAGGGGTGGGTTAGCCAGGCATGGTAGGAATGTGCCCGCTTAGGGACTGTTTTTTGCAGCGTAAAGCCTTTCATGCAGCTAAGCATTATGTGCGACCCAGGTCCCATTAACTGGTTCCTGTTGCAGGCACAACAGCTGTGCACTTCTTCTTGACCATGCATCCAGCTGTCACCAGTAACTTCCCAAGTCCATCCACCTTTGAGGAGATCCAGTTTTTTAATGGACCCAACTATCATAAAGGAATCGATTGGTAAGAATCCTGACGCGCATTCTTCTGTGATAAGGTGCACCCATGTTGTCTTCTCCTGAGTCTCTCTGTATGTCCACTCCAGCACCTTAGTAGCTTCTCTGTTCCTGAACAGCTGTTTTCACTGCTGTTGCTCGGCACGTGTTCTCTGTTGTCCTGCTTAGTCCCAGGAGCAGGACAGGCAGTATCTGGTATTAGTGACTGTTTGCCAGGAGATTTCTGGGCATGGTTTAGCTTTAAAAATTCAGTCTTTGTTGAATGCACTGCTGTCATGAGATTTCTTCTCCTTTGACATACAAAACACACAACAGTGTGCTCATTAAAAAGTTCTTCATGGTTTCTGAGTTAAAGGAACATAGGACAGAGGGGACAACCTCCATCCTGTTGTTCTGGGCCCTTTACACTTACAGAGATGACAATGCATTCCTTGCACTGGCTCCGGTGTCTCTTTGGCCACATCTATACCCTGTTCTTTACCTGTACAAGTATGCAATTTTGACAAAGTGTTTCCACCTGGCAGGGAAATACTAGTGTCACTATGGCACTATTATGCCACTATGTTTCCAGGCAGAGAAACTTTAAAGTTGTTTCTTTCTCAGAGCATGCACTTTGGGTCCACCATGGTGCTGCACTCCCTCCTATGAGCTCAGAGGGACCTGAGGGATGGCTGTGTGCCAAAAAGGCTTTCTGCCGTGGGATTTCTTTGCCCATGAGCTGTGGGAGATTTTGTCTGACTTCTCTAACCATTTAGGGGACAGTTGAAAAGATATTGGAAGGTGGTTAGTAGTTGACTGAAGCTCACGCGACTCAAGCACTACAGAGCAGTTGTACTAGCTGATAGGCTTAGAAAACATAGGCTTTTATAGAATCATAGAGTCGTTTAGGTTGGAAAAAGACCTTTAAGATTATCCAGTCCAACCATTAACCTAACATTATCAAGTCCATACTAAACCAGTTAAGAGTAGAGTAATCCAGCCACCAAGCCAGGAAACACAAAATTGCTATTTTTTAATGAAAGTAAAAACTAGGAATCATTAAGGTTGGAAAGGATCTCTAAGATCATCAGTCCAACCATCAACCCAATACCACCATGTCCACTAAACTATGTCCCAAAGAGCCACATCTACCTGTTTGTTGAACACTTCCAGGGACGCTGACTCCACCACCTCTCTGGGCAGCCTGTTCCAATGCTTGACTACTCTTTCTGTGAAGACATTTTTCCTAATATCCAATCTAAACCTCCCCTGACGCAGCTTGAGGCCATTTTCTCTCGTCCTATCGCTAACTACTTGGGAGAAGAGACCAACGCCCGCCTCACTACAGCCTCCTTTCAGGTAGTTGTAGAGAGCGATAAGGTCTCCCCTCAGCCTCCTCTTCTCCAGGCTGAACAACCCCTGTGCACCCCCTGGAAAAGTCATCCAACTTGAGTGCAGCATCACGTGCAAGAGGAGAATCTTCATGTTTAGGATGGAATTTGAGTTTGTTGTACAGCTTAAATTTCAGCAGAGACCAGTCTTCCAGTGCTTTACAGTTTCCTGTTCGCCCATTACCCTTTACCCTACCATTATTCAAATGGTTTACAGTTTCTGCGTTACTAATTTTACAAGCTCCTGTGAGGCAGAGCAGAGCTCTTGACCCTGTGTCTCAACTGTGAACTGAGGTACAAAGAGAGAAATGATTTAGATGGCCTTATTCTTGGGACAAAGCCTCTTTTCTCGTAGCGCTTGCAGCTAGTACCCTACCCTCAGACTTTTCCTTCCACTGCCCGAGGACTTGGGGAACACACTCTCAGAAAAACGCTTTCTTACCCTTTTATCATCTCCAGCTTTCTTTCGAAGTCATGCCTCTGCCAGCTCTGCACCCGTTTGCCCATGCATTGCCTTGCTGGGGAGGTGCAGTTGTTCTGTGAACTGTGTCTGTTGGAGAGGAGCAAGGGCATCATGTTGTCATGTGCCATTTCTTTGTTGGGCCATGCTGCTCACCAGAGTCCCGTCTGTTTGGCAGGTACATGGAATTCTTTCCTATCCCCTCCAATGCCAGCACAGACTTCATGTTTGAGAAGAGTGCCAACTACTTTGACACAGAGGTGGTACCAAAACGTGGTGCAGCCCTGCTGCCTCGAGCCAAAATCATTACTGTTCTGATCAACCCTGCTGACCGAGCCTATTCGTGGTACCAGGTAACTTCCCTGCACTGCTCTGCGGGTGAGGGCCAGAGAGAGATTCCAGTGTGGCGAGGCAGAAAGCCCATGGATCCATTTCCACAGAGGGGCCAGGGGAGATGATGCAGGCTGCCTGCAGAGTGTGAACAAAGGCAGTGGTGGGTGGTTGTGCCGAGTTAGTGGGGTCTGCAGAGAGATGTGTAAGGTGGAATTTTGGGTTCCTGCTTCTAAATTCAGCTTGTTTTTCAGCACCAGCGTGCTCACAACGACCCTGTGGCGCTCAATTACACTTTCTACCAAGTGATCTCTGCAAAATCCCAGGCCCCTCAGGAACTGCGCAACCTGCAAAGCCGATGCCTGCTCCCTGGCTGGTATTCAACTCACCTAGAGCGCTGGCTAACGTACTACCCCTCTGGGCAGGTAGGAGGCTTGGCAGTAGAGGCTCTCTTGGAGCCCCTTGTAGGTTTAGTGGAGAGGAGAACAAACTGTAACACGTGCGCGTGCTCTCCCCAGCCCCCATTGTCTTCATTTCACCTTCTGTCTTGTCTTTTGGAAGAAGAGCCACCGCTAGCTTCCTTCTGTTAAGAGCTGATAAGAAATCAGGATTGAATACTCTAATTTTGCACTTTATCATATTTGTAAAGTAAGTGAGTGCAGGAGGATACTGTGAAGTCCCAGAGAGCTTCTCAGTATTCTCCTAATACCGAGAAGTTCAGCAAGAATAGCAGTGTTAGCACTCCCTTCCTTTCATCTTGGCAGCCTGCAGCCCACAGACCCTCTTCAGGGCCAGCAGATGTTCAGCTTCTTGCTGTGGTTGCGTTGCTTTAAAGAGAGGCTCTTGGACTCTGTGATGTTAGTTCCCATGTTGTGAAGCCTTTAGCTGTCTGCTGAAGGGAAATTTCACTGCAGAGATGTCAGGATTCTGTGTTTTGTATATAAATTTGCAAAAAGTCAATTAATAGACAATGTAGACCATTTCTGTGTCTAAATTCCCAAGAAATTTATAAACTGTCTAATACATTGTGAGTCAGGATGTGTTTTTTCAAGTTCCTTTCTGCTGCTGGGGTTATCCTCAGACAGTCTCTATAATCCAGCAGAGTCTTATAATGTCCATTTAGTCTCTTATTCTCTGCCAAAGCAGCAGCCTAAACTGTACGTGATAGATCTGCCAAGACTAAAAGAGACATGGGAAAACATTCTTGGGTTCGTGTCTCATTGCCTTACTATTCCTGGAGGTTACTGCTGTGAGGATTGATAGAGCCAGACACACCATCCTTGCACTTACTATGGGTCAGGGTCTCCTACCTTCCCCAAACTTCAGTTCATGTGACTATTTTTCTGTTGTGTTCTTTGGAATAGGTAATTTATTAGCACAAATGTTGTTCATTATCCTCTATCATACACATAACAGGAGAATAATCACAGGTTACAGAGGAATACTTAGTACAATGGCTGCTGACATCTAAAAAGAATACACGAGGTTTCCAGAGGCACTCTGGAAATCATGGGCCTTAATGTTCAGTTACATGGGGTGTGGTCAAAGGCAAATTTATTAAGCAAAGCCTGTCCTGATCTACTGCCTTATAGTATTTGTGGCCCATACCATAACTTCTGTCTGTGGTGACAAATGGGCCACATCCCCCACTGTGTTGCTCTAGAATAAACAGGCTTTGGCAGCCTTTACTCACACGCACAAAGGCCAGGGGCAGTTTCGGGAGCCGGGAAGCTCACGGGTGTCATTCAGCACAAGGTGTCGGAGGCTAAGGTGGCTGCTGTCTTTTCAGCTTCTCATTGTGGACGGTCAGGAGCTGAGACACAACCCTGCCTCTGTCATGGACAACATCCAGAAGTTCTTGGGAGTTACGCCACTCTTCAACTACACCCAGGCCCTCAGGTAGGGAAATCATTTTTTGGGAAGATGCTTTCTTAGCGAAGTGTCCTACTAAGCACTTGATGAGAAGAATGCTTCTCATCTCTGACTGCAAGACCTGCCAAGGTTTCAGAGGTATGCCTAACCCTAAAGTTAGGTTCAGATAGCATGAGGTGCTATGCTAAGACTTGGAATCGTAACTTAGTCTTTCCAGAAACGATAGGGGAAGGGGTGTTTTTTGGCACTCTCATGGAGAAGCATGAAGTTGCTCACAGCAGTAATTATGATGTTTTCCATTTGGTCTTTGTGGTTTCAGAAAAGGTGCTGGAATTATTAGCACTCCTTATGCTTTGTGTTATACCTACATCTGACAGAAAGTAGAGGAAGTATGATAAAAAAGTGTGTGACAGGCTGCTCATATCTTCAGCTAAATGGAGATGAGGGACACGTGGCACAGTTTTGAGGTAAAGAGCCGCCTATTACAGAAGACATGGACTTGACAGGTGCCCAGAGCTATGTTAGGAAGTGTTAGTGGAGGCACTACTTCACTGCTCCTAAATTGGAGGATGTTACTCAGCCATTACTGTGATCTTGCCCACGGTGTAAGTGCAGTTAATCCGAATAGATTAAGTGCTAGCTGAAGGTGAACTGTGGCCCTGTTAGTCTTCAGTGGAAACTCTACAAGCCCACTGGAGATCCTGGATATTGCTTTTTGCAGCTGAAACCGGTGTTCTCGTATCTTCTCCGCTATCACAGCCTATGCTAGCTGAGGGTAGTGGGTGGTGTGCGTGTGTGTAGGCACACGGCAGTTGCCCTTTCCTTTAACAGTAAAGAGAGGAGAACCACTTCAGTTCTCTTCCTACAGTTGTTTTCCAAGGGGGTGGCACACGGCTCCCCAGGGCGGGACAGATTTAGAAAAATGTCAGATTACTTGAAAGCCTTACTTGCTGAAGGACATGTCCTGATGGTAAATGGACAATTTACAGTAGTGGTAGTGGCTGGTACCCTTCAGCCAGGGTCAGAAGAGAAATGGTATTGGTCAGCTTGCCTCCAAGTTTGGTAGACATATTTGCTGAAACCTCAGGCTTGCCTTTGGCCAATTGAGAGGACAGGACAGACAAGACCAGATATGGTTCCCGGCATTGCTTTATACCTATGTTCTAGCAAGAGAAGAAACATGGATACTTTAAACAGGGGATTCTCTTAACACTTTTCAACTATAAAGAGGAGATTTAAAAGAATTTAGATACACTAAAACATTATTGTCCCTCCCAAGCTTAACAGACAAATACTGTAATACCATATGACCTCTGAAATTTGCATAAAGCTGGAAGAGTCATGGTTGTAATGGATTTCTTGTCAAAGTAGTCAAGTGCTAAAAAAAAAATATTGAACCAATACCATAAATAAATAAATAAAACATAAACCAAATTTTTAAAGCACTGAAATGGGAAATATCTATGGAGCTACTTAATTTCTGCTGCTGCTAACTGGGTGTGTGGCCATATCTTTTAAAGACAAGTGTCCTTTTCAGATTTGATGAAGCAAAAGGATTTTGGTGCCAGCTGCTGGATGGAGGAAAGACTAAATGCCTAGGAAAGAGTAAAGGAAGAAAATACCCTGATATGGATTCCTCGGTGAGTAACTGTCTCAAATCTGTTGGCAGCAAGAGATGTAGAAACATCCCAGCAACCCAATCTGGATTTTCCTACCACTTATGTCCTAGATGACCTATGGAACACGTGTTGAGGGTAACATTTTCTTTCACACTAATGTGGTCTGTATTTTCCACACAGTCACGGCTGTTCCTAAGAGACTTCTACCGGGAGCACAACATTGAATTATCCAAGCTGATGAACAGACTTGGACAGCCCCTTCCAACCTGGCTCCGAGAGGAACTGCAGAACTCCAGCTGGAGCTGAGAGGGACTCCCTTGCCCCCAGTGCCATTGGGATGTGTGGTGCTCCAACACGTGCTACGATGCCATCCCTTGTCAAGCCAAAACAAGTGGACAAATGAGCAGGAGCAGAGAATGTGCATGTGGAGCCTTTCCCCACCATTAGGAAGGGCTGCTGCCTCTGATACTGCCCTGGGGCATGGAGTGCAAGTCACGTTCTTGAGTATTAATGGTGTGTTTACACTTTTTTTACTTACAGGAAGGATTTGGAATGCCTGCCCTACTTTGAGCAGGGGAGAGAGCACAGTTAACACTTTATGTTTAAATTACGCTTCTCAGTATATGAAACAGGCACCTAGCTGGAGGGTTAATGTGTTACTCCTCTAAAAGTAAAGACTTAAGAGGTGAGCTATTGAGCCTACTGCTGAGAAGAGCAGCAGCAGCTTAATAAAAGGGGAATCTAGTCCAGTGAACCCCAGCTTTTGTCCAGTAGTCTATTTGGCAGCAGCAAGGTACAAGAACTCCTTGTTCCTCCCCATGCAGAGTACAGTGGCCATGATCATTAGTTACAGTGCCACTGTGCGTGGCTGTTGGGGACTGCACCTTCTTGGAGACAGATGTAACAGACATAAGATTGCCTCTCCTTATCTGCAGCACTGTTGGTGTGATACGGTGTCCAGCGACTGGGCAGTGGGAGGTAAGGCAAAGCTGAACTGATTTGTTATCTTAGGGAAAAAAGGTTGCCGTATGTGGCAACATGGCAAGTATTTCTCTGCAGGGACTTTAGACAGTTCAAAAGATAACCAAGAAGTAGTATGTATGTCCCCTTAGAGCACTTTGGAGGCATGTGTTAGTGCAGCACAGCAGCTGGGGGAGGCAAAGCTCAGGTATTGTAATATAAGTCTGATGCAGCTGAAAGCAGACAACTCAGTTCCCTATGTCTGATCAGCTTAAAAAAAAAAAAAAAGGCAACATTTTTCTCTTTCCGACAGCTCCAGGGCCCCTATCACATATGCTGATAGCTAGCACCCGTTTTAATCCCGCTGTAGTCCAACAATGCAAGGAGAAAAGCAAAAAAAAACAGTTAAAAGTAAGTATCAGTCAGCTATAAAGGGAAGGCTTGGTGTTAGAAGTGGTTTCCTGTAGCCAAAAGGGGCTGTTTAGTTTACTACTATCTGCGCATAGTCAAGTAACTACACTAAGGTGCTTTGCCTCCTCCTGCAGTTGCTGGATAATTATTCTCAGAGGAAATCCTCCATCATGGTTGTACATGTTTCCTGTTGCTGAGCCACAGGCTTCTGGAGTTGTGTGGGCCATCGTCCCTGCCTCCCAGGCACAGAGGGTCCTTGGAGATTGCTGCAGTTCCAGAGAACAGAGGGGCAGGATCCATAGGAACAGAGATTATGGAAACTTCCACAACTGTCATGAGCTCTTTTCTCCTATCCAGAGAGAAGTTGCTTCAACCAAGCTTTTCCATTGAGCCTTAGGTATTGTGTATTTCTGAACGAATGGTGCATTTACCGTTGTATGTAAATGTATATAGTATGCAATATAGTATTTTATTTCATGTGCCCTTGGAAAGGGTTATTTTGTGCAGCCAAAAAAAGGACAGAAAGACTAGAAACCCCTCTCTCTCTCCTGTTAGAGAGAAGAGCCCGGCTTCCTGCACTGGATTCATGTATAGCATCATTCACATTGAATGATAATAAAGAAATTCTTGGCTCTTGAAGCTGAGCACAAGTGTCTGAATAAAGGCTAGAAGTAGTAGTAAGTGGAGATTCAATAAATGTACTACTTATTTTTCTTCTTTGTGATGATTTGGCGTGATGTCGTGGACCCTAAGCTGGTAGAAGGGTAGGAAAAACTGAAAAACTACTCCGGGCCTTACAGCTGCTATCTGGGAGGGCAACAAAGGTGTTTAAGTTGTATTTGGAGCAACACAGAAACAGTGTCCTAAGGCTTCTTTCTCTGCACGCGCGCCTGTGGGCTTGCAGCAGCTGGCGCAGCACGCAACCTGTAGTGAGAGGCTCATTCTTACTGGTTTGCACCGGTGATGACTTTGGGCCACTCCTGGCTACTGCGGTAGTTTCCAGCTGCTGCAGCAGCAGAGCTTTGCTGTGCACCTCCTGTCCAGGTGAGCAGACCTACAGTAATAAGCAACCTTATATTCAACTGGAAGCAAAACATTGTTTAAATAGTCATGGTTGTGACAGCATCCTAAAACAGCCTTACAGCTCTCACTTCACCAACCACTTCATAAATAAACGCAGCAGCAGCTATTTTTACATGCTGCCCCAGAAGGAGGAGGATTCGAGGACCAATGCTGCTGATGCTGCATTAAACACAGTTTCCTGCTCTTAATCCATTACAGGTTGTCACTTACACAATGACTTCATGCTTTCCCTTGGACTGTGGTAGATCTTTGAGGCAATGGATTTAAACGTTAAAAAAAATAATCAAGGTACCAGGAATAAATATTGGGAGGGGCTCACTAAATGTCAGGGTTATTCTACTGGCAATAGTCCTTCAATCAAGGCAGCAAAGGGCAGCTGTGTATTCTCATTATTTATTCTTCCCTTCTCCCTGACTGCTTCATTTTTATGCTATGTGGGTTCTGACTGCTTATGCTAATGGCAAACAAATCACCTGCTGTGGTCAGATCCAAATCTAAGATGTCCTTATCTGATTTAGCTGATGAAGAGTCATTTTCAAATCTGGTAACTCCCTCTGACAGCACATTGCTGCAGACGTTACCCTCTTTCCAGAGGTGCCTTCAAAGCTGTGGAAACAAACACCCCCCCCTCCTAAAAGAAGTTCTTATAATCAGAAGCTCTGTGATATCAGAAAGTCAACAAAAACATGTTTTCCAGTGATCTACACTGGTTACTAGATACTGACCCATTAGGCACGCACTTACACATTATAGATCCTCAGACTTCATTTTGATAGCAGAAATAAACACCTTCTTACCTCACTGTTTAGTAACAGAACTTGATGGTAAAGCAGCAGTTCACTTCTAAGACAAGGAAAACGGTAAGCACAAACCATTACCTGAAAATTTTTTTTATAATGTATTAAAAGTATTTCTGTAGTCTGATGCATAGGAAACTGACCCCTTTAAAAAAGGAGTAATTTGACCCAGGTGTCAGAAAGGCACATGATTGTAACAGAAACAGGAGCCAGGTCATGTCACTGCAGAACTCAAAGAGTGTATGAAAGGTGAGAATTGGCAAAACAAATAATAGGAAACAACTTTTTAAAAACAAAACCATCAGCGTGTGTGGATATACCAACCTCAGAAAAGAAAGCTCAGCATATGAAGCTGAACTTCTACTCACAACCTCTGGAACTCAATCGGGAAAATATGTGTAAGTAGGCGGCTACCTCGTTCTACTAGGTACAGGAAATAGTGGTACGAGTCTCAACTATCGGTTAAAGACCTTTTAAGGGAACTGGGAGAATTTCTCTGTAGGTGGCAGCATGTATCAAGTCTACATAAAAATCTGCTCATTGAAAATGGCAGTTTTCAATTGATGACAGCACTGCAAAGGCGCATATTCCTGGCAGAAGCCTGCAGCTCCTGGCAGTCAGAATGACACACCCGAGTCTAGCTCTAGGAATCTAACAAGCAACTTAATCAAACTCAGCCTGTTGTTTTTCAGCCCTCATGCTCAGAGAATCCTTTAATTCCTTGCTGGTCATTTCACTAGCAGTATCAATAGTAACATGGCAAGACAAGCAATGACAAACTGGACCCAACATGCCAAATGAATCTGAAGCGAATCTGTTCATCCCCCGATGTGTCTCCTGGCTGCCACGGCGCAACTGTGAGCAAGACACCAAGACAGTGGCATCTAACACACACAGGTGTTTCCAGCAGGCTGCCTCAAGCCAGGAATAAATGCTCCCATCATACAGTAGGACTTGGCCTGAGCACTGGTACCTCCTCTCCAGTTATCAGGGCTTTACCTACAGTTTGTTTCTTCCCCTTTTTCTTAAAGGCTTTGGCGGCGGGGGGGGGGGAAGAGTTAACACAGCCTTATGAACTAATGCATCTGAGAAACACATTGCAAGCAATACAAAAAAGTATTCCCAGCACTCTCATCTCCACTACGCTTGAGACCGATGTAGAAATAATTTATTAATCATTCTCTTTTGGGCTTTAAAGAGTGGTTTTCTTCCAAGACTCAATTTCTCCCCATTCTCATCTTTCTTTATAGTCTTACCGACTTCGCCAGTCTCTCCAAAATGCTTGTAAACCCGCACGTACATAACCCTGACACTACCCCAGCAGTCTGAAATCCAGCTCACATTCATTTCACAGTAACAGGATAATAAATCAGGCTGGTCTCAGAACCCCCAAAGTCAAGTCATTAGAAAAGATGCATTTCAGGACTTACAAAGTGTTGACACCAAGGCCCTGCATAACAGCTGCCCTTTAAGCCCCCAAACTTCCTGACAGAGATGATGCTCTCCTGGCTGACTTAAATGAGGCAAAGCATGACATGGAAGGAAATTGTGGGGACCCAGTCCCCATTCACAGTGCATGCTATCTATGTACATATGCTACATACAGTAGACTTTTAATGCATTTCCAGCATTTTCTCCTTCCTATAAGAAGGAATAAATCCCCTTCATGGCAATAAAGTCATTGTACAGTGCAACTTGTGCATTATTAGATAGTTATAAATGCTGTAATTGTCAGCAGGCAACACCAACAAGAAAGGAGGGGGGGGGGGGGGGCACCACCACATTTGCTTAGAGCACAGTCACTGTCTTTATCCCAACAAGGACCACTATACGGCAGCGATGGTACCGTCTGACAGCACACAAAGCTTGCATTTGGACGTTACCACTGGAAAAAAAACCATTACATAGTCACAGGCTCAAACGGAAGCCCTAGCACAGAACAGCCCAAAGCTGCACTTCCAGCTTTCACAGCTTAATGCCACTCTTGGACAGGTGTCTCCACCACCCTGCCCCAAGTGCAAGTACCCTTAAGATGGAAATGGGAAGCAGAAAGAAGTTCAAGAGCCACATTTGAATTATGCTGGGGGTGGGAGGATAGTAAGAGGAGAGGTAGTTAAAAACAAACAAAAAAACCCCACAGTAATACTATTTAAGAAAGCCCCTCTTCACCATAATCATGTCATATAGTACTTAAATTCAGGCACAGAAAGCAAATACAAAATACTCTAAATTTAAACTGTAGTTGAGCGCTATTCACTGTATCAGTAGGGCTTAAAAGCAATGTCATACAACAGTCACGGTCATCAACAACTGCTGAGAAGTCCTCATGGCCCAACCTGCCCTTTTACTTTTTTCAGCTTAGTGTTAAAAAAAAAAAAAAAAAAGCATCAGTAGCAGCAGACTTTTCCTGTTTCAGCATGCTCTCTCTGCAGGTGCATCCTGGAAAATCCATTTTAATACCCTGCCCTTCTCTTAATGTCTAGGTAAGAAAACTACAACTTCCCCAACTCTTAGAGAAAACAATTTCAAATTTATGTCATGTTACAGCTGACTGACATATACCAGGAGGTGGTGATAAACTTCATGGATACTCAGTGCTTACTCCATT